GTTCTCAGTATGCAGAAGAATGACCCCTGTCAGCATTATATTACACTATATATTATATATATTTTGTATATTATTGTACTATTATTACTAATATATAAATGTGTATGCAGTATTTTAGGGTTATAGCTGCTCAAGCTGGAGCTTATTTAAAAAAAAGTGAAATATTCTACTGTTTAGCTGTTGTTTCCTGGTCTTCTTTTTCATCATATCTTTTTAAATAAAGCTCCAGCTTGACAGTATTAACTAAATACTGCATACACTTTATTCTATAGTACATATAGTACAATAATCATAAAAAATATAGTCATAATATCATAGTGTAATAGTAATGCTGATGCAGGGGTCAATCTGTTCTGCATTACGTGGAGAACATTTACTTTTAATCACGGAGTGCCCAAACAGTTTTATCTTGAGTGAAATAATGTAATAGGCTCACCTATATTATGTATATATATTGTCTATATATGGCAAGATCCCAAGTTCCTGACTTCGTAAATCTGCCTGTCATGCTCCAATTTATGAAAACATCAATTAAGGCTATATATTGGATCCTATATAGTTCAAAGGAGCATTTGACTTTGTAATCTCACGACAAGAAATAAACCCACGTAAAGCATTTTTGTAGTAGCAACACTGCTGCGTGGGCCATATTGAACCGTAGGCCTGAAGCCCCAACTGTGGGCAGCCTGCTTTTGATTCACTTGAGTACATTACGTCGGCGTTAAGTTATATAGTAAGAACGTTTGGAATGTTGGTGCTCTTACTTGCTGAATTGAAAGCGACTATTTGATTGCGATATGCTTACTTGAGTACTTCTACAAATCATTTGCTCAAATACTGAACTCTGTAACATTCCAAAATCACTTAGACGACAAAATAGTGTCCAGGCGATGGGGTTCAATTGATATTTTTGATTAATTTTTTGTATTTAAGTAATGTATTTATTTTATCTGAATCTGTTCGGTATAGTTATTAATTTAGAGTTTTATTCTATTTTGCTTATTATTTTATTCATCATCGTAATTAATTTCTTTACAGTTTTATTTTATGATTACATATTAATATATTTATATGTATCTATGAACAACGAGTAAATGGTTGATGTGATGTTCCGGGAAAACAGGAAAGATCTAAAATATTTTAAAGCCACCTCAAAAGGACAACTTTAAGGTGGACAATTAGATGTAACTTGTATTTATACATATTATTATTTTCCATGAGGTTTAAAAAGGTTGCATTTCATTCAGCAAGAATTATAATTTCCTCTTTTTATATGTCTCTGAAAATACATTGTGTCATACTGGTCCTTATCACAGTCCATCCAGTTAGGACCAGCGTTTTCTATCTTCTTAGACCTTTTACTCCTCTTGGGACAACCAACGTCTCGACAATCACACAAGCAACACACACACACACACAAACACACCAACACACGCCTCTCAACCAAGGCCCGGAGGTTCGAAGCCAGCAACAACTGTCCATGTATCATCCATCGGCATTTGTACGTGTTCGGAACAGGTGAGAGCGGCGCGTTATGGTAAGGATCCAAATGTGTGGGTGGGGAGGAGCGATGGAGTTAAGCCTCAGTTTTAGGCACTCAGTCCCCGGCTGGTCGGTTCGCCGGTGAACTGTGCACGGTAGTCGTGTTTGCCGGTCGGATTTAGTTGTCTGCGCCAGGAAATCTGTCCGTCTGACGCTTCATCCTTCAAGCCGCAGGCAGTTTTTAAAACACCCCAACGGCGTTGCACCCAAACTACGTCTTTAACCTAGACCAGCTTTCAACGCCGAGTGAATATCGTTTGTTTTTTCCGGGTTTGCTTAACTTTGTCAGTAAAGTTTTGTGTAGGT